TCCTAATATAAATTTAATTGAATTAATAATTTAATAAAATATATAAAAATAAACTTAAATATTTAATTAATTCTATTATATTTATTTTATATCATTTTAATATATCATATTATCTTATCTTTTACTTCATTTAGATCATTTTATGATTATTTGACTTCAGTTTAAATTGTGATACCCTCAGAGCTAGGGCATTTGAAAGTAAAACTACATATTATAAACAGTCTGCTGGGGGATTGGGAGTGCGACTGGGACTAGGCCATTGCTCGTGTCTGATGTTGCACAGCCTCGGCTGCCCCGCAGCCTCTGTTGTTGCTGTCACTCCGGCTGCTGCCACTCCTCCTGTCTGCTGTAGCTGCCGTTTCTACGGTCTCTGACTGTCTGGCCGTTTGGCCCAGCGGCATTTGCCTTGCCCGGCGTTCGACAGCTGAGCGCCGAGTTGCACTTTGCGTACAGGGTGTCTGGGCGTTTGGCAAAACTATCGTGTGTGTGGCTAGTTTTTCATTCATTATGCCGATGCGCCATAATAGTGCGGCGGACTTCCTGTAAAATCGGCTGAGAGATATATGAAAGACAAGTGCCTCGCTGTGCAAACAAAGCGCCGAATAAACGCAAGACATGAAATATTCTAAAATTAATGCTCGACAAATGTCTTTCTGGTCTCTCGACGCAACAAGAAGCAAGACATACATATATCTGCATATGTGTGGAAAAAGATACAGATACAGATACGAATACTTTGGCTGACTGTGTATACATGAAAGCAGATACATCGCTGATTATACTGCTCTCGAGAGCAGCTGTAATTGGGTCTACATTGTGCGGGAAATCTGTCAAGGCGGCAACTTCTCAGCAGATTACAGATTACACAGCCACAGGCAAGGGGAAAGGGGCAAGGGGCACGGGGCAAGGGGTAAAGGATAAAGGATAATGAGAAGCCGCCAACAGCTGTTGACTCCGTGATGACGTGAAATCACCGCTCAAATATGATTAATAAGTAATTTCTTTGTCAACAAGCCGCCCGCAGTGGGCTGTGGATGGACGACAGCGTCAGCGTCAGCGGCAACGCCAACGCGCGATATATGGGAAATCTTTAATAATAAAGCACATGCATAAATAAATTATAGGGCAGTCAGCGAGGGGAGCGCAAAATGGATAATAAAACAAAGCGAAGACACTCGGAAAAACAAAAATGCACGAAACATAAAGAAAAACTCGCTCATGTGAAGGATGCCAGAAGGGTTGCCTCCCATCCCCCATCCACTCTGGGCCCTGGCTTATTCCGTTTATCTCACGCAGTTACACAGTTGTAAATTGCACAAAGTAATTGAAGTACTTTTTATTATAAACACAGCAAGCTGTCGTTGCCCCCCTCCTCACCACCTCCCACTTGCCCTGGCTTCCTTTCTCTCAATCTCAATCTCTGTCTTGCTCTGGCCAGTGTCGTTGACTTGCGTTGACCTAGGAGCAGACCAGCCCAGGCAATGATATAAAGCACAGACGCAGCCTGACAACCAGCTGGCGTCTCAATGCCCTGCCCTGCCAGCAGCAGCTTTGTTAGACTCATGTGCACCCATCACAATGCCAATTTTCCAGAAATAAAAAACTTTTGCCAATTGAACTGAACGATGCAAAACAGAGAACGGAGAACGAATCATCCTCGTTGACTGCCAGAAAGTGAATTGTGCTGTAAAATATTGCAGTGCTTCGCATTATGCGAGAATCGACAGAATCCTATGCGAAAGTTTTATAAAGTTTCACGCTTGGTTAGCTTTCCATATTTATCAGTTTTTTTTCTAGCTTTGGAGTAAAGAGTTTATCCTGTGCTATGCTAGACTTGGAATAAAGTAAAACCTCTAGCTAGAGGGTTGCCATTTTATATAGATTCTCTTCTATCCTTTTTTCGACTTATATCGGTTACTTATTTTTTTTTTAAATATTAAATCTGGAGAACTATATTTTCCACAGTAGATTTTGACATGCTCTGAAAAAGAAAACGTAATTGAATGTGGGCGCAACTAAACGGAGATAGTCTTTTACTGCAATATAATATGAACATAAGTACATTTACATTAAAATGAAAATGAAAGATTTTGTAAATTTTGTAATTGGAATTTTGTATACGAATAATCTTATATTTGTTATTTAAAAATGATATAAGATATACAATAACCTTAACTAAATGTTTTCTCATACATATCTCTATATAATTGAGGTCATATATTGTTTGTGCTACATATTAAGGTTGTAGCCAAAGAGACCTAACAATCCTAACAAATGTTCCAAATGGAGTTAAATGTGCGAATTGCGGTTCTAAGTGGAGAATAAAAGCAGAGTCAAACAGCTCAGCTTTGGTTTCAGTTTCAAAGTGATCTGAATTAGCATTCCATTTAGTTGCTTAAGCAGCAAGAAGTGCAGAGCGTAGTGAAATAATGCATTAGGGAAAAGTGCAATAAAATAGCCGCTATTGTAGATTCATATATCAATAAAATATGCCATTTTGTATATCTTATCTTCTATCTTATAAAACAAACACATTAAATTTGTATAGCCTTTACAAGTGCATTAAATACAATTTTAAATCTATTTATATAAAAT